ATGGTACCTTTAGTGAATTAGTAATCATTTAGGTTTAAGAGATGCTGCTTCCCTTAATGTTCCATCTTAGAGTCAGATTGATTTAAATGTACTTCCCAATGTTGATTTATTAGTATAGGACAGTTCTGTTGAGATAGGGTCATTCTTGGGAACTAACAGTATCAGAAGAAATGCCTCAGAAATTGTTTTTAAAAAAGTACAAACTGAAGAAAAGGAAACTGAATACAAAAGAACCCTATATTAAGTCCTTACTTTTTAATTCATATACACTATGGTGATATCTTTGTTGCAGAATAATAACTGTAAAAAATGTTACATAATACTTAGCTTATAAAGGGCTCATGGTTGGGCCACCTTGAGCACTAAATACAAAAGGTATTGTATTTATCCACTGTGAAATAATGTTTCGTAAAATTATGAGAATAAATGAGATGTTTGAGTTATCTTTGAGCATATAGTATATCATTATTTTCATAGTATCTTTGAGAAGGAAGAATGGGTGAGCAGGGGGCAAAGATTGTGGAAGGAGGTCATTTTTGTCACAATTTAAAATTAACAAATTGAAGCAAAATCACAAAATTGAATTAATAACAAAACCTGAATTAGAGAAAACTGTCTCTCAAGCCTTTCTTTGCAAAGTTCTTTAACTAGAGCATGCTGTCCCAAGTTTGATAAATTTGCCTCATATTTTTAAAACTTTTAATAGTAATCACCTTGAAATGAGCAAAAATGTATGTACCTTTTGAGGAGTCTGACTTTAAGAAGACCCTATATACAAAAATCCCATGTTATAAATATGATTTATAAAATTCATAGTTTTACTTTGCTCTTTACTATTTTTCCTTTGAATAATGAAAATAGTACTTTTTTCTTAGCATTTTATAAACACAATAAATTATATCTTTCAAGGTTTAGCATAAATGCAGTTTTATTCATCTCTTTCCAGTACATTTGAAAGTGATTTCCCCCCCCAGTGGAAGTCCATACTATTTCTTAATTTCTTGTTTATCACAATTTAAAAACATTCAAATAGTCTATCATTGTAGCTATTGATACATATGATTTCTTGTTCTATTGGATTATCATCTCCCATGTTTCCTTGTATATATTAAAGGTTTAATAAATATTTAATAAATGAGCAAAAGTTTATCCTGGTCAGAGAGTGAAAAAACTCAAGGCAGAAGAAGAGAAAAATGAGTGAGATTCTCTCCCAGTGGACTAAGGGTGTGTGTGTGTGTGTGTGTGTGTGTGTGTTACATTTTCAATCTGTATTTTCCCTTCTTTCACTCCCAAATAAGAATTAAGAATTACTTCCTACTGAGCCTCCTTTTAAAAGGTCTATATTGTAATCTATGCACATAACAAGAGTGTGTATGTGTGTGTGTGCGTGTGTGTGCACGCGCGTGTGTGTAAGAGAGAGAGAAAGGGAGAGAAAGGAGAGAGAGAAGGGAGTGCCATAAGAGGCAAGGGAGGGGAAAGATAAAAAGAATCACAATATAGAAAAAAACAATAAGCCTACATTCTTGCATAACTGGTAGATAAATATAAAAAGGAGTGTGCTTTGGGCACACTAGAAACAAAAACAGATTTTATAAAAAACTAGAGGCCTGGTGCATGAAATTTGTGCATTGGGGGGGCGGTGTCCCTCAACCCAGCCTGCACCCTCTTCAATTTGGGACATCTCTCTCACAATCCAGGACTGCTGACTCCCAAATGCTCGCCTGCCTGCCTTCCTGATTACCCCTAAACTACCTCTGCCTGTCAGCCTGATCACTCCCTAATAACTCCCCTGCCAGCCTGATTGATGTCTAACTGCTCCCCTGCCAGCCTGTTTGCCCCCAACTTCCCTCCTGTGTTGGCCTGGTCACCCCTAACTGCCCTCCTGTGCAGGCTTGATTGCCCCCAATTGCCCTCGTTTGCAGGCCTGGTCCCTCCCAATTGCTCTTCCCTGCTGGCCATCTTGTGTCCACATGGGGGCAGGATCTTGTGTGTTGGAGTGATGATCAATCTGCATAATACTCTTTTATTAGATAGGATAGAGGCTTGGTGCATGGGTGGGGGCCAGGTGGTTTGCCCTGAAGTGTGTCCCGGATTAGGGTGGCGGTTCCCTAGAGGCATGGGGCGGCCTGGGCAAGGGGCCTGTGGTGGTTTGCAGGCCAGCCACACACCCTGGTGACCCAAGCAGAGGCCCTGGATCTGGGATTTATTTATAATATCTTCTATAATTGAACCTTTGTAGCCTTGAGGCCTAAGCCGGCAAGGGCAGGCAGAAAACTTGGCTTCCTCCATCGCTAGGGAAATCCAAGCCTCCCTCCTGCTCTCTCCGTGGCTGCAGCCATCTTGGTTTGGTTAATTTGCATACTTGCTCCTGATTGGCTGGTGGATGTGGCTTGTGGGTATAGCAGAGTGATGGTTAATTTGCATATTATTATTTTATTAGATAGGATAGCTACCTATTAAAGCATCATTAAAACTTCTTTTAGTATTGAGGCCCTTCTGTATATTCTTTTTATTGACTTACTGGGGTGACATCCTACCTAATAAAGAGGGATTATGCAAATTGACCATTCTGCTGTCACAAAGATGGCTGCGCCCACAGTGGAGGCAGGATTTCCATAACACAAGATGGTTGCACCCACAGCAGAGGCCGAGGGGACCTCAGGCTGTGCCCCCTGCTTGGCAGGGCTTAACAAGGGACCTCAAGGTCTGCTCCCTCCCCTCCCGGTGCTGGGCCAGGTGACCTGAGGCTGCTTCCCCCACCAGGTGTGCTTGACGGGGCCCTGGAGCTGCGCCCCCTGCTTGACACCAGGCTAGGGGACCTGAGCGTGTGCTGAGGGACCCGAGGCTGTGCCTCCCATCCTGCGGGGCTTCACAGGGGCCCTGAGGCTGTGCCCTCCACCTGGCACTGAACCAGGGGACCTGAGGCTGTGCCCCCCACCCAGCAAGACTTGAAAAGTATGAGGTCGGCTGGGTCTGGATCTCTCCCAATGGGGGTAGGGCTAGCTGGGACTGGGTCTCATGTGATTTTTGAGGCACCATGGGTGGCTGGGGATTGGACTTTGGGTCCCACAGCGTGCCCCAGACTCTGACAGGAGGAAGATTTTCATATACATTTTACTAATTTTCTTTAATCTCTGACACTTGTATTATAGAGAAAGGGCAAATAGCAATATTAAAATATTTCCTCTAATTAATCCCCTTTTAATGTGCACAAATTTCATGCACTGGGTCACTAGTTGGTTAATAAAATTATATAGGTTTCAGGTGTATGATTCTATAATATGATATCTGTATATTGTATTGTGTGTTCACCACCTCAAGTCAAGTCACTCCTTCTATATATTGCTGCTTATGAATGACACATGCTTTCAAGTTTTTGGCAGACATCAACCAGGGTCAGTGGTAATTGACAAAAACTAGCCCCTTCCCTTTGATACCCATCATACTGTTGTCTGTGTCCTTGAGTTTCAGTTTTATATACCACATACTACTAGTAGATTGTCAAATTTAAAAAGTGACAACAGTCAATACAACAATAGCCAGATGGTATGAATGAATCAAAATTATACCTTCTTTTCTCAGATCTGCTGAAAAACATATATTTTTTGGTGTGCTGCAGAACGTTATTAATTAGTTTACCATGAGATAAAAAAGGTTAAAGATCGCTGGTATAGGTTCTGCTTTGATAAAAAAAAAAAAAAAGGCTAGCCTGCATGGCACATTGGAATGTGAAAAATAACCTCTTCTGAAAGTAACCATTGCATATTCTTCTCAGCTTTTCCTTCTCAGCTTTTCCTTCAGAAACATTTTATAGCCTCGCTGTCTTAGTCTTTGTTTTCTAGGGATCTCTTCTTGACAAAACAGATAATATCCTTAGAAAACAGTGATAGGTTTGTGATTTGTTGACTGCTTTCTTCAAGTCTCACATAAATTGAGAACTAGTTACTTTGCTTCTTGCTTTGTGGGAGAGAAGATTCTGTTCCTGAAGGCACACATTCTTTCTCCCTTTCAGACAAAAAGGCTTCAAAAACTTCTCAGGCTAAGGAGTCCTTGTCAAAACAAATTTTTATCTAAAGACCTAAGATGCTTAGGGATGTTTAGCAGCAACTCATATGAATTACAGCAGAATTAATATATTAGAATGGATAAAAGAAATTCTCGAATTAGCTAAGATCATTTTTACCCATTGTTTGATAGTATTAAGTGTATATTATCCAGATAAAGCTAGATTCTTTGCTTTATAAAATATACTGGACTCAGTTCTGGCTTACATGACTTATGCACTTTCTATTCATCTCAGAGGAAATATAAAAATAGGTAAATGAATCTCTTAATTAAAAAGTAGCATACCACATTCTCAAGACAGTAAAATAGAACATGTTCTGCATTTTATTGTGAAAATTACTAGTAACTATCAAAATTGGTGGTGGTGTTTTTTAAGTCCCATGACTGACATTTTATAATTTTTTAACTCAGATATCTTTTTGCTCAGTGGCTTTTCTTCCATAATGATTTTGTTCATGACATCTAGAGCTCTGGAGATAGGTGGAATTAGTAGATATATTATAATTTTTCCTTTAAAATGACTTCAATTTCATCAGGGAAGGGAAGCTCAGAATGCTAAATTGCAGCTGAAATAAATGAACTATTTTACTTCCTTCATAAATATCTCAGTGTACGCAGTTTTGAGTTCAGAGATGATCATGCAGGTTCTGCATGATAGAGAAGTGAAAATAGTATTCGTTTAAATGTTATTGCTTAATTTCACGTTCGTTTTGTGGTGTTTCCCAACTATCTGTTCTTTTTCACTGCCATCTCCCTAGGTGTGCACATAAAATATTCAGTAGATTCTTTGAAATTCGATCTTTAAAGCTCGATTCTTTGCCTTATAAAATATACTGGATCAGTCCTGGCTTATTTGAGTTATGTACTTGTCATCTATGAAGAGAAGTTGCTCTGTACAGCTTATCTTCACCTTGATTTCTCTTCCTCCCTGACAGAACCCCAAGGACTGCAGCAAAGCCAAGAAGCTAGTGTGTAATATCAACAAAGGCTGTGGCTATGGCTGTCAACTCCATCATGTGGTCTACTGCTTCATGATTGCATATGGCACCCAGCGAACACTGATCTTGGAGTCTCAGAATTGGCGTTATGCTACTGGTGGGTGGGAAACTGTGTTTAGACCTGTAAGTGAGACCTGCACGGACCGATATGGCATCTCCACAGGACACTGGTCAGGTAAGATGCCTGATGTCACATTCTCTGGGTTGAACTGCCACATAACCAGATCAATCATTTATACAACTTCATGGCTCATAGTCATCTTATTCTCTGGATCCATGAATGCTGTACATTATCCAGATAAAATCTAGGACGATATTTTATTTTAAAAGTGTTTCATGACCTATTTCATTTTTTATGTTTATTTCATCTGGATTTAGCAAAATCACTAAGCTTATTCAAGGAATGCAATTTACTCCTTTGATGATGATGATGATGATGATCATGATGGTGGTGGTGGTGATGGTGGTGGTGTGATATACCTTTCACTTTTTAGAGTGATTCCACACTATTGACTTCAGTTAATTCTCATCATTAACCTGAGGTCTTAAAACTTCAGCATGCCTGAGACTCACCTAGAAGGCTTGTTAAAACAGTAGGTCTGGAAGGGCCTGAGAATTTGCATTTTGGACAAAGTTGCCAGACCCAGGGACCAAACTTGTGAACCAATGAGGCACCTTTATCTCTGTTTTACAGTTGAGGACAGTGAGGCCTAATTTGATTATGCAATTTTACATTTTATTCAGGAAACATTTGATAACAAATATTGTGATTAAGGTACTATACTAGGCATTATAAGTTATAAAGATCAATAAGAAATTTCTCTCCTAAGTTCTATCAAGAATAGAATATATAGTTTCTTATTGCAAGTCTATTTCTACAATGGTGATCTTTAAACAAGATCTAAAATTGGGCTACCGCCGAAACCGGTTTGGCTCAGTGGTAGAGCGTCGGTCTGCGGACTGAAGGGTCCGGGTTTGATTCCGGTCAGGGGCATGTACATTGGTTGCGGGCACATCCCCCGTAGGGGGTGTGCAGGAGGCGGCTGGTCGATGTTTATCTCTCATTGACATTTCTAGCTCTCTATCTCACTCCCTTCCTCTCTGTAAAAAAATCAATAAAATAAATAAAGGTTCTATATGGATTTAAACTCTTATCTTGTGATGTGAGTTTTGTCTTCATTAGGATGATTTTAAGAGCCTGATTCTATATATCAAAAAGTGAAAAGTTGGCCTCACTAGATTTATCAAACTTAGTGTATAGCTAGGCCTTGCCTGTATGCTACAACTAGTTACTTAGTTTGTTTGATTTTTAATCCCTACGAATTTTGTATATACAGGATATGAAGATGAAAATGACTTGAATTTAAAACATTCTGAATTTTTCTAATGTTAAAATTAAATGGGTTCTAGAAATCATCCTTTATTTATATGGAATCTAAGGCCTAATAATAAGTTACTTATACAACTTACAAATAACAGAAATCTGATTAGTACTCTTGCTTGTACCTACCTCCAGTCTAACTCCTTCCCAGTATACACCTTACCTAGCAGAATAATGATCAGAAACATAGAAACTCCTAAATGTTTGGGAACTAAATAAAATGACTAATTGTAATATCTTTACTATCTTACTTCCCCTATCCTGTAACTTTTTCCAAACCTTTCATATAATTTCCAGTACTGAAAAGTTATCAGTGGTATTTTACTCTGTCATTTGCAGTTCATATGATTAAAGAAGTTATTTTATCATGGTAGTACAGGATTATAAGTTTAATTAAATAGATCTTTCCTTTATTACTATAGGTATTGTATATATACCTAAAATCATATATTTTTCTTCATGCCAGTCAATTAAACTGCCTTTTGGACACAATTAATTAAACTAGTGATTATTTTCAATTTGCTTGCAGAACTGATCTTAACTAAAATAAGTTAGATGATAATCTTGAATCTAAAAGAGATTTTAAATTCAAGAAGAGATTTATGTTTGAGCATAGCAAAGTATGGTTGCAATCCACTTCTGTTTCTGTTTATATACATTATCTATGTATACACCTTTTGGAAAAACTAGCCCATTTCTAGATTTAGAGAAACAAATGAAATTTAATAAGGTCTTTGACATTAATTCTTTAGTTAACCATACATCAGTTGTATCTGTTATTGTTCTGACTTGTACAAAGAATCTTGGGGTATTTCCCCTGGCACAACTGTCATGAAATTATTATTGTTCATACGTATTTGACATGATGTGCCTGAAGGTGGAATTTAGTGTTCAATTCCTATTCAAATCTGTCACCAGTACAGGAATTAGTATGCACATCTGATTATTTCAGTAGCTAAATCATACCGTGAAGGTGGAGTTCTATTTTTCTTCTTCATTATTTTATATTTGTATATGAAACTGTATCCTATATAGTAAGGTGGTTAAGTGAAGCAAAATATTAAAAATTATGCTTCCCATTGAAAATTATCATAATCTTTCCCATCATGTATTGATGTTTATTCTAACATTGCTGATAAATTAGTCAATTTAATTTCTTATATTAAAATTGTTTCCTAAACCTAAATTAACTATATATAACAGATGTAATTCTTCCTAGTAAATTACTTATGATAATTCAGAATAAGAATCTTGGTATTTAATTGTTTGAAGTATCTTCCAACAGTTACCGATTTGTTTAAAGTGTATTGTTTAAACACATGTCAAACACAAGGCCCATGGGCCAAATCTGGCTTGCCAGGCCTTGCAATGTGGCCCGCACCGCTCTGTCATCACTGCACTCCGCTGCGTTCCATCACAATGACGCGTGGTGACATAGGAGGCTTGTGATCTCGCCGGCTGCCTCGCCGGCCGTGTACTTGCTATCTATTACGCATGCGCATAGATAACAAGTCACGCGAGATTCAGGAGGCGTGACCTATAGTCCGGCATCCGATGTGGTTGTGCGGGTGGCAGAGCAGAGGAGAGAGTGAGTGTGCGGGCATAAAAAATACACAGCAGAAGCTGCCAGTTCCTGGCATAAAGTGCAGGCATAAAAATCGCAACAGAATCTGCTATCTGTACCCAGCCAGGCATTTATTGACTGACTTTTTTTTTCTCCACTCCATCTGCCAAATCAAGCTATCCCTGTGCAGTTTTCAACTTTTTCCTTCTAATGCAGATTTCCAATAAACTACATCTTTTACTGCCAATATTGATCCCAAAATGTCCAGGAAAAGAAAAGTTGACAGTGAAGGCAGACAATTTAATGACAAATGGGAAAATGAATACATGTTTGTGCTTAGAGAGGGCAAACCAGTGTGTATATTGTGTTATGAGACAGTGTCGGTGATGAAAGAGTACAATACACGTCGTCATTTTGACACCAAACATAATGTTAAGTATGGCAAATATACTTTGGAAGAAAAGCATAAAATTGTTAAAGAACTAAAAGGCAAACTACAATCACAGCAGCAAATGTTTACAAAGGCTACAGCGAAAAATGATGCTGCAGTGAAAGCAAGCTTTATAGTGGCTGAAGAAATTGCCCGTACTTCAAGGTGTTTTTCAGAGGGTGCCTTTTTGAAGCAATGCATGCTAAAAGTGTGTGAGCAAGTATGCCCAGACCAGATACAGAGTTTTCAAAATGTCAGTTTGTCAAGAAACACCATTGCAGATAGAGTTCAAGAACTCTCAGGAAATCTATCATCACAGCTGGCCGAACAGGCATGCAGTTATCTCGCTTTTTCACTTGCTATCGATGAAAGCACAGACAACACTGATACAGCGCAGCTGTCCATCTTTATACGTGCTACGAAGACCGACCTCTCTGTCACTGAGGAACTTTTGGATGTAGCTGCCATGCATGGGACGACGACTGGTAGAGATATATTTGAGGCTGTGGAGAAATCTATAAATAATTTTAAATTACCCTGGGAAAAGTTGGTGGGGCTAACTACCGATGGCGCACCTTCAATGTGCGGAGAAAAGAAAGGCTTGGTTGGACTAATGAAGGAAAGAATGCAAAAAAGTCACTGCCACACACCCTTGATTACTTATCATTGCATTATCCACCAAGAGGCTATGTGTGGAAAAGTTCTGGACATGAATGACATAATGACCACAGTCATTAAAACTATTAACTTTATACGGGCACGTGGCCTGAATCATCGCCAGTTCCAGCAGTTTTTACAGGAGGTGGGTGCAGAGCATGGAGACGTGCCATACCACACAGAAGTAAGATGGCTGAGCAAGAGCGCAGTCCTCAAAAGATTTTTTGAGCTCAGAGAACAAATTGCTCTTTTCATGGAAAGTAAAGGAAAGCCCTTGCCTGAACTGTCGGATCCCGCCTGGCTATGTGATTTTGCTATGATGTGTGACATGCGAGCATCTCGCCCAACTGAATCTGAAGCTGCAGGGACGCAAACAAGTCATCACGAAGATGTCTGACATGATCACAGCATTCCAGCGTAAACTTCAACTATGGAAGTCCCAACTGGAACAGGACAATCTTGCCCACTTTCCCATTTGTTTGAGTATCTCAACCACTATTTCTGGTACTTTTCCTTGCAGTCGGCTGGCTACCAAAGTTAGCCGTTTACTAAGTGAATTTGAGTGGCGCTTCTCTGACTTTAGAACACAGCACTCAGGCTTTGACATCTTTGCCAATCCTTTTACAGTTGATGTCAACAATGTGCCCCATCACCTTCAGATGGAGATAATCGAGCTTCAGTCTGACAGTGGCCTGAAATCAAGGTTTCAGGATGTTGAAATTGAGGACTTCTACCCTCTACTGCCCCCTGACTCAATGCCAGAGCTCCGACTTCATGCTGCCCGTATTCTGTCCATGTTCGGGAGCACCTATCTTTGTGAACAGATGTTTTCAATAATGAATCTGAACAAAAACAAGCACAGATCACGCATTACCGATGACAACCTCCATGCTGTTTTGCGGGTTGCTACAGCCCAAGAAATAAAACCGAACATTGACTCATTGATCCGGGGAAAACGGTGTCAGACATCTAGCCAGAAAACAAAACAATGAGCATTTTAGGTACATTCCAATATTACTGTTTTGCTTGATACCAATATTACTGTTTTGCTTGATAGCATGTGAGTTGGTTAACAGCACTGTTAAGGAAAAGATTGTTCCACTCATTTTAAATTCACATTTCTGGTTAACATTGTCAGTTTAT